CATGGTGTGGTTTCAGGGAATTCTCCACGTGTGATGGATGCAGTCACTTTCCCAGGAGCTCTGCAGAAAACCTTCAGTTTAAGCATTATGCCAGCTGATGTGTATTTATAGAAGCTGGGAATAAATGCAAACTCACACGTACTGTTTTTCCAGATAAGACTTTCCTGCTTTGCTATACACACACGTTTCTACAAGAGCAAGCAGTGCAGAACATGCATGTTGTTCATTTCTGTACAGTATTTACCTTGGTTAAATCCAGCAGGCAGAGAGCAGTCAGCATGGGGCTTTCTTAGGTACCTGCTAGTGAAATACTTGGGACAAGTATTGGGACTTGCTGCACACAGCAACCCTAAGGACACTGCCTGACTCCCTCCTTGTCCCAGTGTTTGAGAGCCTGGGAGAGGTGCAATGTAACGATTGAGGGCAGCCAGCAGTGTTGTTATTTTTAAAAGAAACAACATTTTCTGTAGAAAAACAGGAGTTGTGTGATCCTTTTCCTCGTTGTCAAATGAGAGCAAAACCACTGTGTTTAATGATGAGCTTAAGACAAGTTGCCTGCTGTCTGTCTCTCTTTCTGCTGACCTGCAGGGTGCAGCAGCCTGCCCAGCACAAGGCTCTGCTTTGGCTCTACAAGGCTCTGCTTTGGCTCTGCATGGCAGCTTTGCTTCTATCAGTGCAAGCTCACTGCACATCACACCCCCAGCAAAAGCAACAGGGAGGCGCAGGAGCAGCCCTTACTGACACACATGGATGTTTGCAGAGCAAGCACGAAGATTCCAGCAGCAGGGATCTGTATCTGGAGGCGATCGTTTGGTTGTGAGAAGTAAATGTTCTGCACAGATCTTTCTCACTTCTGAGGCTCTGGTTTGCATGCGTTGTTGAGTCTGTCATAAGGTTAACTTTCCAAATGTGACACCTCTGCAGTGCAACACCTTGTGGAATTTGGAGCTGTGCCAGAGACCCAGTGCACCACTTGCACCCAGATGGGGCTCACAGGTGAGCCTGAGGTCAGCACTCAAAGCCAACATCAGCATTAGATGGGGAGAAATAGGGTTGGGACTTGTAATCTTGCACAGCATAGCTGCGCCCCTTAATGCCAAGCAGCATAATCTGCTTACAGCAACAAGGGCTGTTGTGTTTGCTGCCCTTAAATCACACCCCAAAGACAGTTTGCAGCCTGCCCTGTGGGCTGCAGGGAAGCCTTGGGGTCACTGTATGCTGGGGAGGGACAGCACTGTGCCAGCAGGACGGCTGCCCCTGTGCAGCTCCCCACGGCTCTCCCTGTTTGCTTGGGCTTTGCAGTCTGCAGCGCTGATGGTTTGAGCATCTCTGTGGCGTGTTGTGGAAACACTCCTCTCCAGTACCGTGCTCCTCCTGAGTGTTTTTCTCTCCAAACAGAGCTCTGTGTAAGTGCTCTTTCACAGCAGTGTTGTTTGTTGCTGTTCCGTGTTCTGAGACAGTGTTTCCAAGACGGTCATTTCCTGCCTGTTTTACAGCAAATCCTCCTGCTGAGAGACACGGAGCAGCGCTGGGGGTTGAGCAGGGACAGCAGCCTTCAAGGAGATTGCCAAAGGTGTTGTGCAGTCCCATCAGGGTGAAAGGTCCCTCCTTTACCTGCTCTTGGTCAGAGGGAAGGCGTGAGTGGTGTGTGCAGAGAGGTGAGACCCAATGTGCCCCCTGCAGCATCGTGGGTTCAGCTTCATAAAGCCCTGGGGGTGTGGAAGGACCCAGAGGCAGAACCCACACAGCAGGGCTGTGATGGACACTGAGGAGGAACAGCTTTCTTTGCTGAGGAGCGGAGATTTCTCATCCTTTTCACTTGCACAAGCAGCCAGTGCACAACCTCTGTGTGACTTGTGTGCATTCTTGCCTTTGCATTTCATAGATTTGAGCCTGAGTAATTCACACTACAAAGCTGAAAGGATTTATGCTGTCACACGAACACTGGGCACCTTTTATCTGATGCAGAGCCTGTTGTGTTACGAGGAGGTCCTACCATGGGCAGAGAGCTTCATGGTGGCTGTCATACAAAGCCCTTCTTCCTTATGCCATGACAACCACCATGAAAACTCAAACCAGCACATCATGGTGCACAGATGTACATATGCAGAGATGAGTTTGGGCAGAAATTGCTTTTCGGGGCTTCAGCTCCCCAGCAGAGCAGAGCAATCTGGTGAGCTTGCAGCAAACAAATCGCATGAGGAAGGTGGAGGGACAGGAAAACCGAGCTGGCAGGCAGCGGTGGAAGCCTTGGCCAATGCTGTATGTTCAGCATCTGTGAGGGCTGCTGCATCCTGTCTCCCCGCTCCAACTAGATAAGGCACTAATTTCTCATTAATTTGATTTTTGCTTTGGAACTCGCACTTCTGCTGCGTGCTGCTCGCTGACAACAGCCTTTTGTTAGGCAGCAGAAAGAACACCGCGTGTTAGCCAGAAAAACTGTGAATCCACTTTTCATTTACCACCATCATTCCTTCCAGCCTGGCTTTACCAGCCTCCGAGAAGTGATTTTTTTCTCTCTGAATGCCTAATTGGTTATTTATACACAAAACACAGAGCATTTGCTCGGTATACCTGATCTAGAAAAAAATTAGTCAAGAACTGTCCTACCAGATGTGAGTGTCAGTCAACATCTGATCTCCATATAATTTATAAGGCATTAAATTACAAAATAATGAATCTTTTCAGTTAGCGTTTTGGCACATGATGACAGTGTTACGTTTTATGTGAGAATATTGACCGCAGCTCTCGCCCCATAAAACTGCAAACAGGGATTTGTAAGCATTGGCACTGGTTTCCCTTAGAAAAAGACACCCATTATGCTCGGGTTACAGTTAAGCTATGTATGCACAGCCTGGAGGTTGTCCAGTCACACACAGTTCTTCCCCCCTCTCTTTTAATGTTTCCTTAAGAAGGCGAGACAGTGGTTTCTGGGCTGGATGTTTTTTTCCCCTGGATTTTGCTGGAGGAAGGCAGCAGAGCAGAAGCTGCTCCAGGATTCCCACAAGTGATGTTTGCTGTCAGTCCCATTCTGCCCCTGTTTGGCCTGGAGCGATGGGTGAGAGCAGGTCCTGCCACAAAGCCCCCGGCCCCTGAGCAGTAGGAGAATCCCAGCTTTCTGCATCTTCCTTGCAAGCTGTGAAGGTTTGCAAGCTAACAAATAAAGGGTGCCCACCGAGAGCAAGTTAGCGTGGAACCCAGCTTCAGTCTATGTAAAAAAGAAGAAAAGGTTGTTTTTTTGCATCAGAGACAAACATTTGTTTATGTGCCATGTGTTTTACCCATCAACAGAGTGAAATGCACCTTCAGTACCATACCCTCAGCTTTTTAGTGGTTCTTTCTGCTTGTACTCTTTCTCTTCTGTCCCTACGAATAGAGCACTCCTCTCACCGAGCTCCACTTCCAACTGGTGGTAAATGGCAGGGCAGTGTGCAGGGATGTGTCCCAGCTGTCACCCTTCTCAGCCCCTTCCTTCCCCCGGCAGCACTGTGAGCTGTGCTGGACAACTGTGCTTCCATGGGAGCCTCTTGTCTCACTTGGCATTTCAGACTCAAATTATGGCAGCATCTTCTCTGAAATAGCTGCGTTTCATGGCAAGTGCTGAAACAGGTTCCTCAGCCAAAGGAAAAACAATTCTTAAAGCGTTTAAATGAACGCTACAGACTGCATGGGAAGGGATGGAGAGGAAGGAGCGTGGCAGCTCTCTTGGCACAAGATGTGCTGGATGACAGGGGCATGTTTGTGGGGTTAGAGAGGAACACTGATCTCTAGGAGGAGGAAGGTGAGAACAAAGCTAATGTTCAAGTCAGACATTGGGGTCTTACCCTTCTGTAAGGAGCAGTAGGTAAGTGACAGTCCTGTGAGTGCTGGAGCAGTGACCTCTAGGGTCCATCTTGGCCTTGATGAGTAATGGGATATTTTTCATTTACAGTCAATGCATTGCTAAATTAATATTCCTGTCAAAGCAAAACATTTTTTCTTTTAATGTGTCAGAAAACAGACTGCTGTCATAATGCTGCTGTAGCTCAGTGTCTCATCAGCTTTGACCAGAGTGAAGATAAATGGCTACGCAGAAAACACCCGTTCATTTACTGTTTTGCCTTTGTTTTTCCCTTTGTATCCTGAGAAGTAGCTTGATGCTATACTGTGGAAATGTAGGCTTTACAGATCTAAGAGGTAATACTTCATACTTAACGTTTGGGTGGTTTTCTCGTTTAGGCGTCTTATGCTTACGGATGAATTGGCCTATTTAGATCAGGATAGCTTGAAACAACAGCTGGAGAAATAAATCATCTCGTAAAACAACAACATATACAGGTAGTTAATATTCCACATGTATTTATATAATCTATTTCTATAAAAGGAAACGCAGGATACGTAATAAATTAATTGCAAAACAAGGCAACATTGTGGTAATGAGGAAAAGAATGTGGCTAACTCATTTAACTTCTTCTGGAGTTACTTTGAGACCTTTTAGTTTAATTAGTTGAGTGTATAGCAAAAATCCAGCAGGCAGTTACCGACAAGATTTCTCTTAATTGGATGTCTTCTGTTAATTGGATGCTCTGACACCAATTGTCTGTATCCGAATGCTCTTTTGTCAGGGCAGCACTCCGGGGTTCTTCAGCCTCACATTGTCCCATTGGAGAGGCTTGGGCTGGTGAGAGCTGTGGGGTTCCAGGCCCTTTCCTTTAGCTACCTACCATAAATAGTCCCATAATCTCCTGGGACACAAAAGCCCAGGTGCAACAGAGCAGTGATGTGCTCCTAAGTGACATCTCTAGGGAGAGTTAAAAATAAATTAAGAGACAGTTTAGTCTTACAGAATGAAACTTACTTTGAAACTGCATCATTAATTACCTTTTAGCTTTTTTTTACATCATCAAGCAACTGATCTACCTACTTTCAAAAGAATTATGTATGCTCCAAACCTTTCCATACAGTGAACTTAACGTGGCTGTATCTAGTAAAGCTGGGATGCATATACTCTTGCAGTGAAATAAGGAAAAGCCCAAAGCTTTTATTATACCTTTTTAAGCAAACATACATATTGTGTGAAGTTACTGAGTTAACATACGATGATGCGTTTCCAGAAGGCGTGAAATACTGGCAGATATCTCTAAGAAAAATTAAACTTGATATTTCCCAACTGGTCCCATGTCAACCACTGGGGAGAAGGAATGCCAAACGTTGGCACGTTCTGCATATTCTGATTAAGGAATCTGCTCTGTTCCCTCCTTTGCTGGTACATACGTTGTCCCTCAGCCATTCTCTCTACAGAGTGCCATCAGGATTTTTATATTTTGTGTTCAGCTGTTTGGTGGGACCATCCCACCATAGGAACTTATCTACCTGTGCAGTTATTCCCCAGTGATTTTATTCATTAGCAGTGTGCGAGAACCCGTGTGCTCTCAAAGAACTGTTTCACACCTGGCGTTAATCAAAAGGTAATTTGGGATAAGGCACGTGTCAACGTGGCACTAGAAGTGTGATTCAGACGTTGGATCTCCCCCGTTTGTAATGGCCTGGTCACTCATTTCATCCTGCTGTGCTGGTAGAGCAGTCTTTGTTAGAGGGGTCTCAGTCTTGAAAAGAGAGTCCATTTTGATCTGGGTCTTTATGTTGAAAGACTTCTGGAAGGATTCTGATGTGAAGTAATAGATGAACGGGTCAAAGCAGCAGTTCATGGTTGCAATGCACAATGTGATTGGGTACATTGTCCGTGCAAACCTCTCCAAGGAGCAGTTTGCTATCGCCTGGGACCGCACGAGAGCGTACAAGAAGAGAATGGAGTTATAAGGCACGAAGCACACAACAAAAATGGCCACGTGCACAATGATCATCTTCAATACTTTCTCTTTGTTTGTCCCGATCTGAGACAAGGTGGCAGGTTTCCGGAGAGTCCTGAGCACTAAGGAAGAGCACGTGAGGTTGAGTAGCAAAGGGATGATGAACCCCACCACCTCAATAAATATAGTGATCTTAGACAAATAGGTTTTCCAGATCCGTTTGGAAAAGCCTTCAAAGCAGGTGGTGCTGGTGTTGGAAACATTGGTTGTGGAGAACAAGGAGGCTGAGATTCCACCGCTGAGGACCAGAATCCAAACGCCAGCACAGACTATGGCAGAATTTCTTCTGGTCCTAATGGTACGGGATCGGAACGGGTAGACTATTGCAAGGAAACGGTCAACGCTGATGCAGGTGAGGAACAGCATGCTCCCATAGATATTGGTGAGAAACGCTGTCCCAGATATCTTGCACAGGCTATCTCCAAAAGGCCAATGCCTGTTGAAGTTATAAAAAATTTTAAAAGGCAAAGTGAACACAAACAGCAGATCTGAAACCGCCAGGTTTGTCATGAAGATGGCTGTTTCGCTCCGCATCTTCATCCGGCAGCAGAAAACAAAGAGGGAAGCGCAGTTAGTGATCAAACCGAGGATGAAGACCACGCTGTACACGGCTCCGTACAAGTTGTACTTAAAGGAATCATCTGTCAAACAGGTATGGTTGTTGCTGTGGTTTCCCATGCCAAGTCTGTGGTGTGCTTCCGAAGAGTGACAAAGTCTATACTTCAGTGCCATCCATAAAATCAGGCTGTCATCTCTTTTCTTCCCGACGAAACGCATTCCAGGAAGGTTGCTTGAATCCTTGCTACCACGTCCTCATTGTGCATCCTTTCATCCTAAAGGCAAGAGAAATAAAAGCCATCAGTTTTGCCATCTATTACCACCCTGCGTGTCCTTTCCAAACGTTCAGACAGGACCAGTAATTAGTTTACAGCCAGTCTTTATAAATTGTTATGAATTCCACTGTCACTGGAACTTAGCAAAGTTGGACACAGCAGTTACTGCACTTGGTTTTGCTTTGCTCCCCTGTCCTCCTGTTGGAAGGAGAGTGACAGCCAATTCCAATGTTCCACCTGGAAAGGCTTTCCCTTAAAATCTGAGATGGATTTGGCCCACTGTGTTTGGGAAGACGCCATGGGCTGCAATAGTCAGGCTGCTCTTTGATTCTACACCCAGGCAACTGCTCACCTAAGCATGTGACAAGAGCAAAAGGAGCTGGAAATGTTAGTGCTTACTCTGAGCTGTGCAGGAATGAAGCTTCTATGGTTTTGCAACTCCTTTAAATGAAAAAAATATTGAGAACTTGTACTGACAAAGTGCTCCTTTGCCTTTTTTCTACCTGAAAGTAGGAGCCTTTTGTGCAGTTTTTTTGAAGCGCAGAACTGAAATGTTGTCCTTAGAAAAATTTTGCATAGAACACTTTCCAAAGTGATGCCTTTTCCTTGGGAAAATGATGGGGTTTCCATTCTGCAATTTTTCTGCAAAAATGACACGATTTACTAAAGGGATTTTGTTTTAAAGCACAAAATGCTTTGCAAAAAGGACTCCTCTCTAAGCTGCGCTGACAACTTCATTTTATTTCTCTTCCTCGTCACCTTTCTGAACCTGAAATTTGGGAAATCTCATGAGCTGCACTCTTGTAGGACCGTATCCCAATTTAGTCAGCTCTGGGGAAGAGTGGAGTTGAAGTAAGCGTGTTATTTGTTGGAAACAAGAGCTTCCTGAACCACCTTGATGTTATCCTCCTGTGACTATGCCAAGTGTTTGAGGCCTGTGAGCAGAAGCAATGGAGAAATCTCATTAACCAGCATGAGAAGGGCTGTGGGCTGGGCTGGGGGCACGCCTTGGTGATGTGAAGCTGGGCAACCAGGGTGGGGACCTTTGACTTGTTAAACACAGCAAACTGAATCCAAAACAGTTTGTCAGCCTTTTGTAATTTGTAATCTAGGAAACGTCTTAGTAACTGCAGCTATTGAGTAACTTGGAGATGAAACCATTGTGAACTGTAGGACCTGTTCCAGAAAGTGATTGATAACGTGGTTACAACAGCAAACACATAACTGAGCAGGCTGGTGTTAAAGGTTGGAATGGCAACGTGCAAACAAACAAACGGAGGGAGAAAGCATGGAATTGAGACCATCGAAGATGCAAACAGATCAAAATCAAATGTTTTCCATATGTTTTTCCTACCAGACTCACACTAACAATAGTTCCTGCGTGCTGTCAGTGAGCCAGCTGCCGAACTGCCAGCTGTGGAGGGATGCAGCACGGACTGGCTGTGCTCACAGCCTGGCAGCACGGGGCTCACTGTGTGCTGTGAGCAGCATCCTGCCCACAGACAAGTGGGGTGTGAAGCCAGGAAGGCTTTGAGCGACTTCAATCTTTTTGGTGTCCCAGAAAATGACTTAGGACTATTGCAGGGGAGGTTTCTTGCCTGCTGCCCCGTGCTGCTGTCCTGCTGGGTTTGCTGTGCGAACTTTGAGCTCCCTGAACTCAGTTGTTTCCATAGATGGCATTGGTACACGCTTCTAACTCAGCAAATCTTCCCTCCTTTTGTGTGCGTTCTGTGTTACCATCTGCAGCGATAACAATATCCTGCCTTAGCAGACACTCAAATCAGGGGTAGATGTGCCTTCACCTGATGGCAGCTGATTGTGTGACAATGAGAAATGAGATGAAACGAGCTAAAAGCCCACCGTGAAGCTTTCCTTCATGCATGAGTGGGGACTGACAGCAGGAGCGGGCTGTGCAGGGGAGCAGCGTGATGTGAGGCCCTATGGGCTTCTGCACTCATCTCAGCGTTTTTCTTCCTAACTGATGGCTAAATGAACATCATTGTGAAACGACTTAAGAAAACAAACACTTAAAATTGCTATGAAAAGGGCAGTAACGTTTCAAAGGTGCGCTTTTTTTTTCAATGCATGGTAATCTAAACAAGCAGAGTCTCACCTAGCAGTTGAAATGCCCCTTGGCAAGAGCTTAGCTGTATTCAAGAGCAAACATTAGCTCCGACAGGAATACTTGTGCCTCTTAGCTCCAACCTCAGCTTAACGCGTTAAATAACTCGTCCAGCAATGAAAGAGGCAGTGTGTTATCTCCATCAGGAGCAAGTTTGGCTTATACTGAAGTGTAACCTCCACAGCACCTTTTCTCCTGCTGTGTGCAGAACCCAGATGTGCTGGGCTCCAGGTCTGGGTGAGGTTTGAGGCTCGCTGGGTGCCTGCACAGGGCTGTGCTGGGGTTGGGTGGAAGCCCTGCTTTGCATTCTGTGCACACACTGCGGGATTTTGGCTGCTCCTCAAAGCACAGCTGGGTGCAGCAGGTTTAAAAGACAGCTTTGAAATCCTTACCTTCACTGCTGGCTATGTGGTCCCTGCCAGCAGCCTGACCCAGATGCTTAAAGCACGGGAGAAAAGGAGCTCCATCAGCTGGTTATTTTTCCTTGCTCTGCAACAGACGATCACAGGGACAAATACAGCTTTTCTGCTGTATGGGAACTGCCTGCCAGCAATTGTCCAGCCAGGTTATGGTCTTGGAAATGTAAGCGTGTGTTGTTTACCCACCTAACCCTGCGGGGTTTAAACAAGCTGACAAGCTGCTTTCAGACTGAGCCACGTGCTTTAAATTCTGCAGCATCAGTCCACAGGTTTGGTTTTCTGGATGTAAGACGCTCTGCTTCCTTTTCACCAAGGATTAAAGCAACAGGATGCTCTTCATGTGCATCACGTTCACTGCTGCTGCTTTGCTGGGAGAACTGGTGGTGTTCAATGCTGAGTGGGGTATGAAGGCTCTTCCAGTGTGTCGTTCAATCAGCTCAAAGCTTTAATTGCTGTGCCTAAAATGGGCTCTGTGGGTGAGGGACGGGTTGTGTCGAACTGTCAGGAGTGGCACCATCACGGAATGCACAGCCTGGCTCACGTGGGGACGTTATCAATATTTCCTCTTGTAGAGGGGATGATACAGCAAACCCACAGCAGCTGCCCCTCACATAGCCCCCTTATTCTCATACAAAGTGGGGCTCAGGGTTTGCTCACATCTGCCTTCTGCTGCAGAGTCCCTGTCTTTTGCATGCTAAAAACAAAGGAGACCTTCTGTGCCTTCCTTCCCTTGGCACACAGCTATCCCATCCTGTTTGGGGTTCTTCTGTTTCCTCCTCCTTGCACCCCAAGAAGTCTTCAAGGCATCAGCAGGATTCTGAGCAACCATTGCTTTCGTTCTTTTGGGTTTGTTTGTTGTTTTGTACAGAAAATAACTCCAGGTGAACAAGCACTTTGTAAAACCCTATTTATAGCTCCTCTAAGGCCGTTCCTTCTCCTTTCACGCTCATCTCATTTCCGTGCTGCTGTCAAATGGAGGTCAGCAGAATGGCAGTGTGAAATTTGGGACTGACTTTTCTCATCTCCATGTTTTCTCCTCTGTGTTTTTAATAGGAGATATCAGAGGTAACACTGATCTGTGGAGGATGCTGGGCACCCCATGTGCGCTCGTATCCATAGCTGAGCACTGCAGAGCCGTTTCATCACCGTAAGTGGAAACGTTTCAAACCTGAAGCATCTTTTTGTTTTGTCCAGAAATCCCTCAAGATCATGGCAGCACTTGTTGTGTTTCGATACCATCTCAGCCCCTCACCTTGGAAACAGATGTTTCCCTTGGGCACAGCACACGCTTTATGTGGTTCCCTTGACAAGAACCACATTCACCAGAGAATTTACATCCCCATTATCCGGGTGGCACAATAACTGCATGGGATGGTTTGGATAATTCTGTGTAATCACTGAGGTTGGTGACCTCCAACACCATCCAGTCCTAATGTCCACCCAGCCACAAGGCCATAGGACTTATTCCAGTCCAGTTACAGGTACTGTAGGGGGGTGAGATACACCACAACTGCTCTAAGTGTGAAATACATGGATAGAAACAGCCATTTTCTAGCTGCAGAAGCCATCATTTGTGATAATCCTATAGCAACACCACTGGGCAATCATGCCACCAAAATGGTTAGCTCTGAAGGCATACAAATATTAATCTGAAAACTACAACAAGTGAATTCAAAGCAAGTAAAGCAGCAATGAAATGCAGCAGTGCAGCCTTGCACTGAGCTCAAACTGCTCTGCTGCCCGCAATATCTGTAACCACAGCAGGATCCTGGCTTCCCAATGCTGCCTCCTTTCAGCAGAAGCTTTGCTGGTTTAGTTTTGCACGTGAGGAGAACTTTGTGGGGAATCTATCTGCTGTCTTTGTGAGGCTCCATCCCCCTGTTCCCCCTGGTGTGGGCTCACGGCATGCTGTGATGTGACAGGTGCCATTGGCAGACCCCACTGCAGCACCATCTGCTTTGTGATGGGGCACCACGTTCAGGGCTGGTTTCTGAGCTGAGCAGCCTGCAGGGCTGCTTTGAACTCTCCATCCTCCCCAGCACCTCCGGCAGTCTGATGTACCCCATGCTGAGGTGGGAGCAGGAGGAAGGTTGGGTTTGGCAGTGGGAGGCAGCAGCTGCCTGTAAGCACTGCTCTGCTGCCCGCATGAAGTGAGGAAGGCAGAAGTGCTTTCATTTCTTTCCTTGACTAATCTGAAGGGATGTATCTGGAATAGACAGAAGTGTGAACTATGGCAGCACTTCTGTAGTTTCCAAGGGCCATTCTTCCCTGGGTTAATCTATCAGAGCAAATGCCTCAGTTGTGCTGGGTGAAAAGAGGATGATGTTGATGATTAGCACAGAAGGTGGGCAGCAAGGCTCTTATTCATGGCTCTGACACTCACAGTGCCAGGGTCTTCAATGGCAGCGTTACCCCCATTTTCCCAGCACTTGCTGTTGGCTCAGTGACACCTCCCACACTGGGACCCTTTCAGTCCACTGGCTTTCTCCATCCACTTTCCCACTCCTTCAGCAGAAGGCAGGCAGTGCCAGCATGGTGTTTCCCACTTCTGTGGCTCCCTCCTAGCCCCAGCAGGCAGCCCCAGCCCTCCCCATTCCCCAGGAGGACCCCAGTTTTACTCCTCCCAAAGATGGAGCTGGGAGGTGGAAACTGGATCCTATTGGACCTCATCCCCACGGCACTCTCCTTTTTCCCCCTTTTTTCTCTTCTTTTAATTGCCCAGCACCGCCGTTGTCTCCTCACTGTCCTTTGAGACCTACAAAGCATTTCCTGCTCGTGGTCACTTCTCTGTGCTGTATCTGTTTTGTGTTGAGCTAATTAAAATGTTTCCTTCTGCAGAGCATGGTGAACTGCCTTACCCTGTATCCAGACGCTGATCCTCGGGGCATGACTCTCTTTTTGTTTTCACTGAGAATGTCTGTCTTCATTTACATCACCCGTTTAACCCTTGCAGTGCTGTGGCCTCCCGAGGGCCTGGCCCACAGCCCAGAAATGGTGGGATTCACCCCACTCTTCTCAGCAAAATCTGCCTTATTTTACTCTTATAAGAGGAACAGTTTTGCTCGCAAGGAAACCTCAGTCTGATGATGGAGGGCTGTAGGAATGCTGCTCTTTGGACTCCTGATCTCCCCTTAGCAAGAGGCTCACGCTTTAATAGAATTGCTAGGTGCAATGGAGAGCGTGGTAAAGAGATACGAGGAAAATCTTGATGAGATGCTGCATTGTCCTCTGGGCCAATGCATGGAGATTCACAGGTTGTTTTCACTCAGGAGCAGAAGGTGGTGCTGGAGGTGGCTGTGCCTTTGATGCAGCCCTGTTTATTTACAAAGCGTGGTTAAGGAAAAAAAAGAAGAGTCCTGTTTCCCTGAACCACACGGGAATCCAACAACAGGACTCAGTTTATTTGCCTACACTTCCAGAATGCCTTCCAGTCAGCACCCAGCCCCACAGCTTCCTTTCTTTGCCTTTGGACACCACTTGCAGTGCTCCCAGCTGCCCTCCCTGGCCCTGCAGCATGAAGCCCTCCTTTCACCCCATGCCATGCCCACTGTCTTGCTCTGCACTGCTTCCTCTGCAGTCCCTTTGCTCATAGCCCTGTTGAACTTTCACCTCTGTTTATCCAAAAACCATGGGCTCTTTTTTTTTTTTTCCTTTGCATGCATTAGCATCAACGTGGCTCATCCAGCTGCCAGCACCGCAGCACAGATGCCTGTTTCAGCTTTTGCAAGCTCAACCTCAGTGCAAGAGCAGCTGGTTTCCTTGTAGGTCTGCATCCATGGGAATTAGCAGGGCAGGAGGCAACCTGTGCATTGCTCTAGTGTGAGGATTTGTGCCCTGCATTCATGTACTGGATGGGGTACATAAAGCAGGGCTTTTTTCTCTCTAATTGCATTATTTGGGGTGTGAAGGATGGTTTGAGGCTCCGTTCTGACAGGGGTGGGTGTGGGCGGCTGCAGCCTCATCTGCTCCATCAATCTGACTGCCCTTCTCAGCAGCTACATCCCCACAGCACCCCTTGGTGTGCAGTGTGAGGCAGCACTGCGTGCAGCCGTGCCACAGTGCAGAGTGATGGAGCAACACGCTGCACCAGTGTGTGAAAGTAAACGTGATACCTAAATGATGATAGCTAAAAAGAAAGAAATAGGTGCATAAGATGATGTGGAAGCATGAGATGCACAGAGAAAGCAATCTGCTGCATTGCTATGTTGTTGCTCAAGGCTTAGGGACCAGTCAGTGCCCCTCAATTTCACTTGCTAAGATCAAGAGACTGATTTTCTACAGAACCAAGCCAAACTGCTACAAATGATTCTGAAACTTTCCTTGCTGCTAGGGTCAACTCAGGCTAATTTGGCTCTGAGGCTGCGTGCATCTTTACCACCTCTTGTGGGACTGAGCTCAGAAGATGGTGCATTAGAGGAAACCTTGCAGAGCCACTGTCTGTTCTTGGGAATACAGAGATCCTCTTTTCAAGGAGAGAATTTGCCTTTTGTACAAGGCAGCAGGCTTCCCTTCCCTGAGACTAAATCAGGTCCTTATTTATGGAGGAGGTGCAATGTGGGAAGGAGCAGAGTCTGTGCATGCATTTGACCTGGAGAGACCTCCTGAGGGCTGGGTGTGAGCTCCAGGAGCTGTTCTCACCCCCCCCAGCCCCATGGATGGGGTGCCTCACTGGTGTCTTGCTTGTGACCCTGGGCCGTGAGACTGAGAGCAGTTATCCATATACAAGTGGCCAGCAGCACTCAGACAGCAGTGAATGCAGGTCCAAAGATATGGCTTGAGCCAAGGTTAGTTGCAGCCTGCACAGATGCATTAGAAATACCAGCATACAGTGAATATGATCATTGAGAACCTAGTCCATTGACTCAGGAAATCTTACACCTTTCCTACCCAAAGCCATGGGGTTGGACTCCATGGTCTTTATGAGTCCCTTCCAACTCGAGATGGTCTATGATTGTACCCTCCTTTGCTGCTCCCTTTCCCTGGGAGCTGGATGAAGCTTTGGCTGAAACTGCCTTAATTCCTGATCTCATGTGAGGCCACAGGCAGGAGGAGGATAACCATCTTACAGCAGGGAGTGCACCCTCCCCTGCTGCAGGGCCTTGCTGCAATAATGGAAAGCACAGTGCTTTCCATTTTCTGTCTCACTGCAACACTTTGCAATGCAAGTGAGTGGATAACAGCATTCAGGCATTGGTTCTGTTTGTGTCCCAGCACAGCTCATAGAATCATACAATTCTTAAGGTTGGATAAGACCTCTAATATCATCTACCCCAACTGTCCCCTTATCACCAATACTGCTCACTAAACTACGTCCCTAAGTGCTACACCTTCCCTTTCCTCAAATGCTTCCAGGGCCTCCACCATTCCCTGGGCAGCCTGTACCAGTGCAACACCACTCTTTCTGTCCTAACATCCAATCTGCTGCTCCCCATTGCAACTTGAGGCCTTTCCCTTTCGTCCTATAGCTGTTACCTGGGAGCAGAGGCTGATCCCACCTCGACACAACCTCCTTTTGGGGAGCTGGAGAGAGCAATTCTACAACTTAAAGAAAGCTGGAGAGAGCAACTTCCTCTCTCCAGAATCTAATGGCTGATTTCTATCAGCTGCCCTAACCCCAGCCAGGCAGGAGTCTCATTTTCAGTCTCAAAGGATTAAAATGAAATGCAGCTCAGCTTCCCCCACCCTTCCTCCCTGCCATGTTTTCAGGAGTGTCTTTCGAATTGAATAGGCTTTGAACCCCCTGAAATAGCAAGGTTAGCTTCCTGCCTGTTTTATTTTGGCTTTCAGTAAGGGAAAGAAGATGAAAAAGTGCTATGGGGGGGAATATCCTTATCACCAACATGTGAACTTTGCACTTCCCATCGCGTGGGTTTTACCATCCTGCTCAGACAGGAGAGCAGTGCTGCAGCACACAATTGTCCCCTCTTAAAGACAGATTAAGGGCTCTCATTTAAAACAAGCAACAAAACAATCCTTGCAAACTCTTCTTTGTACTGTAAATCCTATTGACTCTAAACGGCTGTATCTTTAGATTGTTATAAGTCTGCTGTTGAGCATTCACTTTGCTCCTGGCAGAGGTATTTTTATCTGCTCAGAGCTGTACTCGATTTCTTTTTCCTGTGGAATTTTGCCACTGAGTTTAAAAGGAGTCAATTTGAGCCATAAATGGAAGCCAAAGTGAGAAATAAAATGCTGCACTTTTGCAGGATAAGAAATGCAACTCATTTCCTACTTTTTAATATAACCTATAGGAACCAGATCTCACAGCACGTGTATCACTGCAAGCTGAAAGCCACGTTTATACACAGCCCTTTCTTCAGCTCATATTCAAGTGTTCTTACAACCCTGACTTCAAGCACTGAAACAAAACCCTCGGAACGGCAGATTCACAAATCTGCACCAAACGCCGGGGGATGGAAAAACCCTCAACGTGTCAACTGCAGTGACACGACGGCAATTACGTTGTGATTGAGGACAGCTTCCCCAGCAGCAGTTGGGACACGGAGCTGCTCCACTCCTTCCCAACAAGTCAGAAACGGACACAAACCTTCATTTCTTCCCCTCAAATCACAGCACGGCTCTCGGAGGAAGATCCGTCCGACAAAACTCGGCTATTCCGCATTGAAACGCACCGCTCAGCGCCGCCCGCGAGCTTCGTGCCCGGCTTTGTCTGAGCTGGCAGAGTTCAGAAAAGGCCCCAATCGTTTCTCGGTGCTGACACGCGATGGGGATGGGAAGGCTCTGTGCTGAGCACTTACCGGGTTCGGACCCGTTCCTCGCTGCCGTTCCCCATGGATCCTTTCCGTGCGCTGCAGCCAGCGCCCTGCTATTCCCACGCGGGAGGGCTGCGCGCTCTCGCCGCTAAAACTTCGCTGTTCATCATTAAAATCCGAAGCGCCCGGCAGCTCTCAGCCTCCCTTTGTTCGGAGAGGAAACAGAACTGCTGGAGGCTGCGGCCATCGCGTCTCGGGAAGAACGGACCCGACGTCTGCGCGGGGATCTGCGGGCAGCGGGAGCTCTCGGGGGTCTCTATAGGAAAAGCTTTCCATTGGGCAGGGCCACGGTATGGCAGGCACAGCCCGCCCCGCCCCGCGCCCCTCTCGGGCTGCCCCTCGCTGAGCATCGCCCGGAGGGGGGGCCGGCACAGCCCGCAGGGCCCCGCGCCGGGGGGGGGGGGGGGCCTCGGAGAGCGGCTTTACCTCCTCGGTGCTTCCGATGAGGAGGGGGTGGGAGTGGGGAAAGCAGCGGGAAGCTGCAAGGCAGCCTCAGCCGGAAAGGAAAAATCTTTCTAAAGGGATTTAGGAAGACTTGTTGTTGGTTTGCTGCTCGCTTTTTGTCGGGGCAAACTTCTCAAAGAGGTTGCCCGGAGCCCCCCCGGGATGTGGTTCCCCAGCAGATTGCTCTCAGAGCCCCACGTTCTGGCTGGAAAACCCGTCGGCTCTCAAAAACACGAGGACGCAGCTACAAGCGCTGCTTTCTGCAGGGAAAGCACCGCTTTCTTGTCGTTCAGCTCTCCCCAGAGCTGCCTTTCAGCAGAACCACCGCCTAAGGCTGTGCTTTATCTCTTACCTTCAGTATCAGCCCTCCAGCCAGGACCGGGGATCTCCAGGCGGCAGCAGCAGCGCAGCAGATGGCTGATTTGTCTCGGCCTGTTTGTGCTGCAGAGCAGCCAGTGCCCTTTTATTTCTCTTTCAGCCCTCTCCAGTTCCATAGGGTTGAAATCCTGAGGGCGAGTTTAAAGCCCAGCCTCCCATCTAGCGCGTCCCGCTCGCATTGTGTTTGTCTGTCCTTTTCCTCCGCTCTTCTTGGCCGTTCCCACAGGCAGCCAAGGCCAGTAAACAGCTCATTGTGAGGCTGGAACTAATGTTATTCCTCGGGCTGGTGGCTGATGCAGCGGGCTCTGTCTCGCTTCTGCAGCACGCCCAGCTGCCACAGGCTTTTATCCAGGCGACTCAAATAACTTCCTGAATATCTCATGTAACAGCCTCCCTGCAGCCTGCAAACCTCATCCTCCAAGGGGTCACGGTGCTGCAGAGACCGTAAAAGGCGAGCGTGGATTTCAGCTGAAAACGCTGAAGGTGCAGATGTTTCCTACCCCTCGTGGTCAAAGGGGCATTTTTCCTTCATTTTTCCTTCTTTTTTTTTTTTTTTTTTTTTGGATGAGATGAGAGATGATCTGGGTATATTGCAAAGGGAGGCCAAAGGCATCAGCCATCGCTGTGCATCGCTGTGAACGTAAGGGTGGATGTTGGGGGGGTTGGGGTGCAGAGCCCACCAGTGTGAGCAGTCTGTGTGCTGGGCTGGCAGCTGGGTGCCCCTTGGAGGAGCAGGCTGGGCTGTGCCTTCCCCTTCTGGTTCAAGTATTGCCAACTTTCCCCCATCCTTCCTATAACGAATGGCAACTTGTGAGCAGCAGTCAGCTTTCGCCTTTTATGGCTTGCGGGCATTTTTCTGCTTTCAGGGCAAGCCTGATTGCTCGGGTATAATGCAGCAGTTTTGCAGCCCCTGGCACCCATTCTTATGTGGGTGTGAGTGCTGTCAGTGGGGACTGATTAAACAACATGTCTGCATTTGAAATCACTGTTTAGGGGAAGAGGTGCGGATGGTTTGAGCCTGGGTGTGCTGCGCCGTGATGCAGAATGAGCACATTGAAACCCTTTGTGGATTGAGGGACCAGTCCTGGGCAGAGCCATTAGACTTGCTGTAGTTCTGCTGAAGCTGAAAGAGTGCCAGAATACCCTCGGATAAGCATAGGATAAACCATGAAACAAAACCTTTGTGCTTCATGCAGTATTTGGCCAAAACGTGGCCATTGTGCCAACAGCGGATGCTGGTGGAATTGAAGTGAGCAGCTGTACCTGTCCGGGGTGTTTGCTTTCTCTCTAGGGATACTGGTTTAATTAAACACGTCTAACAAAAGTCTTCAGCTGTTGTGAACTTCAAGAGCTCTCAGCAACTCCTTATAATGTTACCTCTCACTTAACAGGAGACTGAGGTCGGTATTTCTGTCCTTTATGGCGATCGTCCTTCTGCAGTGATTCCAACCTGCTCTCCACCCAGGGTTGCCATTGGATTTAAAGGCATCTTTAGCCAGCAGGTGCTCCAGTCACCTCCCTTTTGCTTGCTTTTGTGGATTTGGGGTTTCTTTCATGAAAAAGGAGCATCTTTTCCTGCCAGCTGCAGCCCAAACGGGGAGCCAGGCAGTTGTATCTCTAGGCTGACTCTCAGTGCTTCTCTTCAGCCTCAAGAGATCATTAAAAATAACGATAATAAAAATTCCCTTCTGGAATGTGAAGAGAAAAATAATGTCCCCAGAGCCATGCATTCCTGCCCCCATCCCCATCACAGAGCAATGCACGCCGTCAGCCTCTCTGCCACACCAGAGCAAACAGACCGAACGCTGTGCTGTCCGTGTAATCTGCATGTATCTTTTTAAATGAATCAAGTACAAACACTCCCAACGAAGTGCCCTCACTCAGCATAGGTCTATTTGCCAAACATGAAGGACGGAGGTGGCTGCTTCTCTGCTTGGTTACAGTTACAGGGAAGTGTTTTTCTTTAACGTGGAAAAACAATGAGCAGACTGCATGGCTCTTCATCTCCCTTCTCCAAACTGCTCCACTGCTGTCCCCACCCCGGTCCCATGGCGTTGGGCTCAGGCTGGGGATAAGGCGAGCTCTGCTTACAGCATTGGCAGCACACCAATAATCCCCAGTTATTTTGGAAAACAAGGCAGACAGGACTGTTATCTTGTTGGAAACTGTGGCTGCTGAGCTGGCATAGCATCTTGAAGCTGAAGTTTTACCCCGTGTTTGCTCTCCTCTGACTTTCTGCTTGTGCACAAAAACCCAGCTGATATTTTGCTTTCTCTCATGCTTCTGGTTCTGTTGTGTCAGTGGTCCATGGCTGTGGCATACGTTTCTATTGGTATGAGCCAGGCAGGAATATCTGAACTTTGGGAATAAATTAGCCCAGGTGAGCAGCATGTTGCATTTCTGGCTGACTGATGCTTATCCCTTATGCTATTGGACACACTGACCGTTTTCAGTCAATGGTGCTTTAATGTGCCAAGACTTCTGCTGCAGGGCACTTCTGAGCTCTCAGAAGAAGCTAGAGAGTAGAAAGCAAAGACAAATATCAGATCTGGAGGTTGGCACCTGTGGCAGGGAGCTTGGTGATCCTTGAGGTCCCTTCCAAGTCAGGCCATTCTGTGATTCTATGATTTAAAGGCCACTAGAATGTAAATGATACAAATATTTGCTTTTCCCCTTCCTCCTCTGCTCTTTGGCAGGATGTTTCCTTTCTCTGCTGTCTCTCCATCTCAGATGTTGTCACTTGGATGCTGAATGCTGCATTGGTCCGTTGGGGTACAACAGTGTGCAGCAGTGGTGTGTGGCACGGGGAGCCCTCATGCTGCAGGGGGGGTCTGTGGCCAGCCTGCTGTTACCTGCAGTGCTCAGAATGAGCCCTGCATGAGATGCTCTTCACCACAGGGGGGATATCCTGCTTGGGGAAATGGCCAACCCTCTGCTGCCAAAATGTCTGTCCTTTGAGCTTTCAGAATCTGAGGGGTCAAAACACATTGCCCACACGCAGCCCATCCCTGTGATGTACCATTTGCTCAGCCCGTGAGGCTTACAGCTTCCTACCATCTCACCCTTCTGAAGCAGCAGCCTGAGGACAGCAGCTCCTGCAGAATGATGGTAGTGCTGGGGTGACCCCAAAGGAAACATTTGGATGACTGAAAAAAAGAAAAAGGTTCAACCCCATTCAAACAGAGAATTTCATTCAGATGGTCCCCAGGAAAGCAAAGGAAAAAATTATTAATGCTGATATTTGCATGGGGGGAAAAAAGTCACTTTGCAGAAACCACAGCCTCTGCTGAAGGAAAATTCCTGAGCACATCTAACAGAGCCATCAGGAGCTCACTAATGCTGCAGTGTTCACTAATGCTTAATAGTTTGTCAACGTTTCCATTCGAAATCCTTTCTGAAGAGCTTCATGAGAAGGCTATAAAACTCAAATGGAAGCGCAAAGCCTCATCCTGTTTGTGTATTTGCTTTTAAATACGCTTTTGGAAAGACATGGAAAACCATTTTCAACGCTGCAGGCAGATGAGGGAAAAAGCAAGAGCTCTTTGGGATGGGTTTCCTTGCAGTTTGAAGGCTTTGTCTGTGTGCTGTGTCCTGCTAACTCGCTGCTGCTCGGAGCTCAGCTCCTCTCCCATCCAGCAGGGCTTTGCTAACAAGCATCAGGAAGATTCTTTTCCAAATGTTTGCTCAAATCAGAGCCCTCCAGGAGCAGGTGCTGCTGGTGGCAGAGCAGTGCTGGAGCATCCAGAGATCCCTCTGCCAGGAGCTGGCAGCCTTCTCAGCCCCCGAGCCTCAGATTTGCTCCCATCCAAAGGAGTGTCAGATCAACTGATTAATCTGTGATTTATTTCTCTCATTCTCAAAGCTATCAAAGTGCAGCTGTTTTCATTCATGAGCCCTGAGGGCCCGCCTTTATTAAGTGCAATTAACTTGAAGTGAAGGCATTAGAACACGAGCTGCTGAAAAGCGTTTCATTGGGTAAAAAAGTGAAATGGAATCCACAAAGAAGGAAAGCAAACCAAAGTCCATAACGTTGGCTGGGTCACACAGAGACCTCTGGCAGCACCATTTCCCTGAGCCTGCATGTCTCCCCAAACCAGACATCTTCCCCATAAACCTTGCTTTCCTTCTCATTGGCATCCCCACTAAGCCAGGAGAGTACAGCTATTTTGGATGGTATCTTCCTCTTTGCTCTCTGTGTTTCCCAGCAGCTCAATGGGGCTCTTCCAAGTGTGTCCTAGTAGCTTCAGAGCCTTTCATTTTTCTTGTCAATGCATTCATTTTGCAGACTCATTTTGCTCATTACTCATTTTTCCCCATTACACGAAGCAATTTCCAGTTGGGCGTGACAAACCCTTGCGCATGAAATCTCCCTTCAGGAGCTGCATCCAGCAGAGGTTTGGCACACAAGAGCTGCTCCAGGTGGGAGAGAAACACCCAGGAAGCCCCTCCTGCAGGTTGAGCTCGGGCACAGCTCTGTCCTGCTGCACTGTGGGGTCTGGATGATTCTCTTTGCACAGTTCAGGGAACTGGCCGTCAGCTCTGCGTGCTGTGGGTCCTGCTCCAATAAATGGATAAGCTGCTGTTTGGACAAGGGGCACCAGCAATGCCAAAATCTTATCCCCTGTGCCGCGGGGACACGAGGAGCTGGCAATAAAATCCCAGCCTGGATGGAGCTGGGAGGACCTCAAACAATTGAAGGCACAGCCGGGCAGGAGCTCACCATTCTGCAGCCGTGAATAGAAGGAAGAAGCTGAATGTCAGGAAGCGTGCTGTAACAATGCACGCTGTGAGGCTGCACCGAGGCTCCCGAGGGATGCACTGGGCTGCAGGATGGATGCTGGGCGAAACCATCACGTGTATACGGACAGAAATCCTTCAGCACTGCAGCACGGTTTGCAATAGGCAGGGAGCAGAGCGCTGCTATTGCTAGCAACGTCCTCACACGGTGCTTTTTGATGCAGGGCTTTGGAGAGGTTGTTCCAAACGGGGAGGCTGAGGGATGCCGTGCTGCGCAGGCTGTCGACCCCGAAAGGAAGCCTGCTCTCCGCATCTCCTAAAGGAGTTTCTATCAATCCCGGTCCTGCTCCCTCTAGAGGGCGGCTGCTTCCCTCGTAATCCCGTTGCACAGTCATCTCCCATCACATCTCTGTGCGCACTCTGTGTGCAGTGGCACTTCGATGCTATGGGACAATTTGGGCTGTGCTGCAAAGGGGGATTGGGTGTCCCACTGCTCACGGCCCCATCAGGATCCCCCTGACCCAGAGTCTGGGAAATGCCACCTGCACAGCTGCATCATCCACAGAGAGCTGATACAGAG